ATTCTACCTTAAGGCAATGTATTAGCTAGGAAGCGCTTATATCATTGACAAGGCACCACTTGCTATCCAGAGAAAAAGTCAGTATGGGACTACCTTAAGCAGCCTAATATGTATGAAACATGTATCCACTAAGGAGGGAGACAGAAGAAATATTTTAAGAAATTATCACTAAAAATGTCCAAGTTTGATAAAAAGTATAATCCTATTGATCCACAAATCTCAACAACCTCCAAACAAAAAAAGACATGAAGAAATATACTCCAAAGCACATCATAATCCAATTGTTCAAATCCAAAAGGTAAAAAGTGACTCAGTAATGCAAGATTGGTTTAATGTTAGAAAATTAAGCAATATAATTTATACTCTTACCAATTTGGAAGAAAATATGATTATTTTAAAGACATAGAAACAGCACTTGACAAAATTGTACATCCATTCCTGTTTAAAAACCTCATCATTGGTTTAGGGTTGTAGCTCCAGGGAAGAGTGCTTGCCTTGTATGAGTTGGTCACTGGGTTCAGTCCTCAGCACCACATTATAAATAAAGAAAGAAAAAACTTAAAAGTTAAGTTTATTTGGAACCCACATTAAATTAGGAATAGAAGGAAACTTCATCAACCTGATAAAGAACATCTATGAAAACACATTAGCTAATATCATAAGTAATGATGAGAGACTATATGATGTGCTTTAGGTTCTACCCAGTGCAATAGAGCAGAAAATGGACAAAGTCATTCAAATTGGAAATTAAGAAGAAAATGTGTCTATATTAGCTGGAGATAAAATTGTCTATGTAGGAAACCCAATGTAATCTATTTTGAAAAGCTACTATTAAGTTACTTTAGCAAGTCAACAAGGTTGAAATAAAAAAAACATTCCCAGCACACATAATGAGAAAATCAGATAAAAAAAAACATCATTTATAACAACACCAAAGGCAGGATATCCTTGGAAAGAAACCTGAGAAATGATGTGGAATAGCTATACATAACTACAAAATGACTTTGTGAAAAATTAAAGAACAAGATACAAAATAGAGAAAAATGTCTGGTTCATGGGTTTGAAGATTAAATATTGTTAAGACAGCTGCTCTGTCCACTTTCATGTTTAGATTCAACACAACAGCAACAACAACCCCATTAGGCATTTTTACATATGGACAAGCTAAATCATAAATTCTCAGGGAAATTGAAAGAACCAAAAACAACCTAAACAACTTTAACAATAATATCTTCAGAGGGATCAAAATGTGGCAGCACCATCTGTAATTCCATCAGCATAATGCTAGAACAAAAAGAAATTCAGTGAAATTATAAAAGAAGGAGACTGAGACCCCAATGTGTGCCTCACTTTGGAGCATCCACACTCATCCCTCTGGGTGCATATCCTGCTCTATTGTTTGCTTTCTTTGAATGAATCTCCTTGCTTTCCTAAGAAATTCTCAATTGGTTCATTTTCTGATGCATCCTAAAATTTCCTTCTGTGGTGTAAGTCCAGAGCCTGCCTGAGATGAGTTGAAGTCTCCTCCCTTCTGGGGACATCCTCAGGGCTCATGCTGTGACAGTTGCATGATTTCTGTAATTCAGTGGAGTGATGCAAGGAGGGGAGAGGAAAAGGGCTTGAAAAGATGAATGTTTTGAGTGTAGTAAATATGTTCATTATCTTGATGGTGGTGATGGTTTTACTGGAGTATATAATGTCAAAATTCATTGAATTGTATATTTAAGTGTAATACCTTAATAAAAATGTAACAATATGTTTTAAAAATTTGAGGAGGAGATGAAATAAATAAAACTTTCAGTTATAAGTTTTGCCATTCTCTAGATTTTTTTTTTTGCCAAATCCACTTTGGAAAGTGTCTCCTGAAGTGAATGTGGTCTGAAGGGGAAGATGGTCAGGTTTGGTAAATTTTTAGAGGAGGTGGTGGAAGTCATTGTCACAATTCATTTGAGTTTGATTTCCCATTCCAGAATCCAGATGATGACATCAGGCCATATTTTGGTGGAAGGGACCATTTTCAATACATTTGTTTTGATAGACCAAACCTGATTTTCTCTTAAAATTGGGAGCCATCTTGCCACAAAGCCATGAAAAGATAATTTCGGCTTTACTATAAATTACTGCAAATTCTGAACCTGCTTGGAATGCCTGCCCATGCCTTGAACTCACCCATGCCTGGCTCTCTGACCAGATAGCAGCCCTCTCTGAAACTTTAGTGATGCCTCACAAATCTTGGCCTTCCCTTGCCAGATAACAACCCTCTCTGAGGCTCTAATGACCTTCATAAAATCTGATGTTGGGGTCAGCAAAAATGTAAACTACCATTTGTGTTATGCTCCTCAAAGTTTTGTTATCTGTAACCCCCCTTTGTGTAACTTTCTGGGCTATAAAGCTGGGCTGCAGGAAAGCTACTGCTGTTGTCTTGTTCCCACAGTTTTTGTGGGAAGAGGCAGCCCAGCTGGTCAAAATAATAAGATTGCTTTAATTTGATTTTAATTAGAGTCAGTGGTCTTTTCTTGCATCCTGGTCTAACATTTTGGAGGCCCCAGCAAGATGACTCTGCCAGACCAGATCACAAGACCAGACTGCTGGAAATTCTAAAGCTGGCCTTCATTCCAGGGCTCCAGGCTGGAGAGCCACTCTAGGGGGTGTGCACCTTGAGATGTCCCAAGGCCTCAGAGTGAGACTCAGTCCCTAGAGCACTGCAGTGAACTGCCACACTAAAACTATTAGCAAGCACCTGGTGGAGGAGGTCTCAGTAGGTAAATGACACCTTTATAACATCTGGTATTCAGTTAAGGGAGATCTTTTCTGAAGACAGAGAGGTGGCCTGGTGAGGCTCACATATACTCCTGTCTGGGACAGTAATGAGAAATCGTTCTGACCTCTGTTCTGTTCTGTAGGGAATTCCTCTGGAAGGGTAGAGAGGTGCCAACAGACACGTACACACGTGTTTCAGGAGCCTGCCAGCTGTGTGGTCCCTTGATTCACATTCCTGAAATCTGAATAGAAGGCCTTTCAGTTGCACTTTGCACTGGGCCTCATAGATGACACAGCCATTCCTGGAGCTAGGTGAAGGGTTTGCAACTATAGGAGACCACCCTCAGCAAACTAGAAAAAAAAAGAGGACTACCTCAACCTAATAAAAGGCATCTACAGAAAAACAAAGCAAAAGAAAACAAAAAAACCCCACAGCTACCATACTTGATGGGGAAAGGCTGAATAGTTTCACTCTATAATCAAGACCAAAGCAAGGATTTCTGTCCTCGTAACTTCTATTGAGTACTGAGCTAGAAGTTTTAACCAATGCAATGAAGCAAGAAAAATAAATTAAAGGCATCCAATTGTGCAGGAAAAGCTAAAGTTTCATTTATTCATGGACAACATGACCATCTATGTAGAAATTCTAAGAAATATGAAAAAGCTACTGAAACTAATATTTAACAAAATTTTAGTAAAGTAACAAAATTTTAGTATGCAAAAACATCAATTATATATCTATACATGGACACTGAGTAACCAGAAATTGAAAATAATTTTCAAAAAATAACTTTCTATAGAATTAGCATGAAATAATTAGAAATAAAATTGTTGAAATATATGTAAAACCTGCAAACTAAAAACTACAATCATAGCTCAGAGAATGGATATATACTAAAATAAAAGGTGAGAATGTGCTTATTTATCAGAAGATTCAATATTGTTAATTTTTCAGTTCTCCCTATGTTAATCTCTTGATGAATGCAATTCCAATCAAAACCTCAGCAGCCTTCTTCATAGAAATCTAGAAGCTCATTCTAAAATTGGCATGAAAATGCAAAAGACCTACGATAATACTACATAAGCAAACTTAGAAAATAAGTTAAACTTGAAAGATTGAAACTATTTTATTTGAAGGCATATTAAAGCTCCAGTGATCAAGAAGCTGAGGTATTGAAATTAAGGAGATATACAGATACCTACAAATGTGTCTATATTGTATAGACATGTGGAACAGAATAGAGTGTAGATATATACCCCACACATGTACAATGAATCACTCTAAAACACATGTGCCAAACCAAGTTCTTAGGGAAAGTGCAATCTTTTCAACAGGTAGCCATGGGACAACCAGACATAAATATTCAAAAATGTGAATCTCAATGTTTATTCCTTTTATGTAATTTTAATACCAAAAATTACTACCAAAAAAAGCACAGATCCAAATGTTAGAGCTAAAAAAAAATGCATGGTTTTCAAAATGAAATACAAGAAAAAAAATCTGAAGAACATTGAATTTGTCAAAGATATTTTTAACATGGCATAAAAAACAAAAGGATCAAATTATAAATAAAAGCACAATACATTGGTTTTCATTAAAAGAAATGAAAACAAAACAAACACTTTTTGCTTTTTGAAAGCAAGCCATAGGCCAGGGCAAAATACTTGCAAAACATATATTTGACAAAGGACACTTTTCCTAGTATATAAAACATATTTCATGTGGAAAGACAAATACCCCAAATTCATGAAGTCGGGGAAAAGATGTGAACAGGCTCTACAACAAGGAAATGACAAACACACTAAAAATGTTCAATACCATTACTTATTAAAACCAATGATTAAAAAGAAAAAGATTGATCACACAGATGGTGAAAACGTAAACTAGTACACTACTTTGGAAAGCAATTTCCTAAAATGATAAAAACATAGCCAGGCATGGTGCTGCACACCTATAATCCCAATGGCTTGGGAGGTTGAATCAAGAGGATTGCAAGTTCAAAGCCAGCTTCAGCAAAAAGCAAGGAACTAAGCAACTCAGTGAGACCCTGTCTCTAAATAAAATACAAATTAGGGCTGGGGATGTCGTTCAGTGGTCAAGTGCCCCTGAGTTCAATCCCCAGTACCAAATAAATAAATAAAAATAAAAATAATAAAATGTTAAAAATACACCTGCTATAGGAACCAGCCATTAACTTTTAGCTATTTACTAGAAAGAAAAACATATACCTACACAAAGATTTGTAGACAATAGTTCATAAGTTTTACTTATAATAGCAAGAAAATGAACAGAATTTATCAATAGGTGAATGAATGTCAATCAGCAGACAAAGGAGTAAACAAACTGGTATATCCATGAAGCAGAATAGTCCATTATTGACACACTCAATAACAAGGATGAATCTCAAACTAAAGTATCTTAGTCCATTTTCTGTCACTATATCATGGTGACACACATTTGGGTAATTAGTAAACAATACAAGTCTACTTGGCTCACAGTCCTGTGAGTGGGAGGCCCGAGAGCATGACACTGGCTTCTGGTGAGGGCCTTCCTGCTACATCATAATATGACTAAGGACAAGTGAGCACAGCAGACAGGAAGGATCCTGAATTTACTCTTTTATCAGGAGCCTGCTCCTACACCAATAGCATGTATCTGTATCAATAGTTCTCATCCAAGGTAATTTTGCCTAGGGAACTCTTGGAAGTTCCTGGACACATTCTTGGTTGTCATTATTGGGGGCAGATGTGCCACTGACATCTAGTGGTTGGAGGTCACAATTTTGCTACAAATCAACAACACATTAGACTCTGCCTATAACAAAAAGTGATCTGACTCAAAATGCCAATAGTGCTATGACTTAAAACCCAGTTTTCTAGAGAAGCAGAACTGTTGAAGCCTCTTCTTCTCCCTAGAATTCTTGCTTCTAGCATGTGTACCTCCTGACACCCTGCTAACCCTCTAAGTCCCCTATAAAAAGCCTGCTCCATTTACATCTTGACTTTATTGAGAGTTATCCTTATTCACATTCTTGACCCTTAGTTGCTTTATCTGGCACTTCCTTTAACACTTATAACATACTTCTTTGAGATACCTTTGGTGTTCCTGTCTGAAAATTGCAGAGACTGGCCATAAGCTCCTTGAGGACAGAACCAGGTACATCTTATTCATCTTGGTATTTTTCAGAACCTGGTAATTTGATGAAAATATGAAGCATATTATGAAAAGTTCTCCCAGGAGATAGTTTTGAGCATAGCTGTTATTACTGAATTTTCTCTCTGACATAAAGTATTTCAATTACAATGTGTCAGTGTTTAAAAAATTTTTTTATAAAACATTAAGGACCACAATACAGGGAACAGCAATGTGCCCTAGAGATTGCTTGAGCTTGCACTTTATGCCTACATCTGTTGGTAATAGCATTGCCCAGCTGGGAATTGTAGGCCCCTGGCATCAAGTACATTATGATGATTGTGAAATAGTCTCTATGTATCTGAAAGGGTCACCCTCTCATAGATTAAGAAAAGCTAACATCTAGGACAGTTGGCAGCCTGCATTTACATAATTATGGCCTCTTATAGGTTCTTACACTTCCTAGAATTATACTCATCACACTGTCTGGGAGTTTTCTTCTTTCAGAAACTTCAAACTCTTTCATGAAAATCTTAGCAGAGACTAAAGGGGGGGAGTGACAGGTCAAGTCCCTGGCCATAAACCTCCCAACCATGCCTTACCCCTTCCCAATTACTCACAAATGACACTTCTCCCCCAAGCTAGACACCTGTGTCACCTTTTGACTTCCATGTCTGAAGACTCCCAGGTGTCTCAACCCCCACCCATCCTCACCCCATTATGAGATCCCATTTTCTCTATTGGACATATGATAAACAGCCCCACACTTTGGTAACAGTTCACAGTATAGAATTTTAATCTGGTCAGTTTGCTCTTTTTAAAAAATTGTTCTAATTAGTTATATATGACAGTAGAATTCATTTTCACACATCATACATAAATGAAGTATAACTTCTCATTCTTTTGGCTGTAGATGATGTAGGTTCACACTGATTGTGTAATCATTTATGCACAGTACTAGTGTCCAATTCATTCTATTATGCTTCCTACCCCCACCATCCCCCCTATCCTCCCTAAACTCCCCTCTGCCTATCCAAAGTACCTCTATTCCCCCCCAGTGCCTCCCCTTTTGTGAACTATCATCTGCATATCAGAGAAAACATTCAGCATTTGGGTTTGGGGGGTTGGCTTATTTACCTGGCATATTCTCCAGTTCTATCCATTTACCCACAGATGCCACAATTTCATTCTTCTTTAAGGCTGAATAATATTTTTATATGCCCATATATACCTCATTATCTTTATCCATTCATCTGTTGAAGGGCACCTAGGTTGGTTCTTCATCTCTGCAGAAATGATAACATGAGCTGAGACTGTGGGGCAAGGATTCAGCCACTTAAAAAGCAGGAAGGCCAAAGTTCTGGGGAGAAGAAATGATGCATGTAAAGGCCAAAAGCCTGGAAACCAGAGAAGATCAGTGTGGCTGGAGGGCAATGAGCAAGGAAGGGTGGCCTCACAGGAACAGCAAGGTTAATGTGGACTCAAATGGCACTCAACTGCTTTAAGCAACCATGTTAGCTGCTAGGGATACCCTAGAAAATTCCACAGATTAGGTGACTTCAACAAAAGAAATATATATTATCCAATTTTGGAGACTGGAAGTCCAAGATCAAGGGGTCAGCATCATTAGTCTCCTGAGGCCTGTCTCCTTGGATTGCAGAGGGCTGCTTCTCAGCATTTCCACATGAACTATTCCCATGAACATCCCTCATGTCTCTCTGTAGATTCTAATTCCCTCTGATAAGCACACCAGTTCTATAGGATTAGGGCCCACTCAAGCCCTCTTTGATCTGGGCCTGGTGGCACATGCCTGAAATCCCAGCAATATGGCAGCCTGAGGCAGGAGAATTGCAAGTTCAAGGCCAATCTCAGCCACTTAGCAACATCCTCTCTCAACTTTGAAGCCGAGGTGTAGTGACACCATGAACCAATAAAAAAAAAATTGGAAGCCCAACATAAGGAACTAGAGGGGAAATGATGTCAGTTTGTGAAGGAAAAAGCAAACTGGGAAGCTCAACAATGTACTTTAAGAGCAACACAACTCTTCAGGGACCTTGGAAAGGAACAAGAAAGGGAAGATCTTTTAAACTCTCTATTGACCTCCAGTTATGTGTTAGTTGCCAATATGCCAGCTTGGACATCAGTGTTTGTGGGCCCCATCTGACCAATTTGTGCCACTTTTATCCATAATAATGGATTTAACAGCAGACAAATTTTTGTTGTTGTTGATGGAGATTAAGATGCCTTGAATTGGGTAGTGGATTGTGTACTTACAAAATAACAGCTCTAAGCAACTTTCTATATTTTCTTTTCCTTCTGAAATTTTTTATTCAAAATATCTCTTCAATTTAATTCAAGAGAACATTTTTATTGTTGTATGATCATGCTCTGGTGGTCTAATTGTTTACAGGGTATTCCAAAATAAATGGACTCTGGAAGATTTTTATCGAGGATAAATGGCCACAAAATGATGAAAACTATTCTTCTCTAGGATAATTATTATACAGTTATATTGTGCAGTTATATTATGCAGCCTATACAATAATGTAATTTAGACTAACACAGTTGATCCTAATTTTTGACACTCCCATTATTAAAAATATACATGGGGGCTGGGGATGTGGCTCAAGCGGTAGCGCGCTCGCCTGGCATGTGTGCGGCCCGGGTTCGATCCTCAGCACCACATATCAACAAAGATGTTGTGTCCGCCGAGAACTAAAAAA